AAAAAGCAAAACTAATTTATTTTGTCGCCTTTTATCACTTTTATCAATTATAATTATCATTAAACAAGCATAAAAACACAGGTTACACATTCATTATTTTGGAGAAAAATTTTTTCTTTTTAAAAAAAAACAACCATAAGAAAGAAAAGTTCATAAGATGAGAATTCCACCCAAAAAAAAAAAAAAAGATTTAAGGATGTGTCAGTCTATATAATCCATAGATACACTGCTTCTCTTTCTTACAAAATAAAATGTAAAAATTTTTAAATTTAATATATAATATAATACATAATGAAAAAGTTCACAAAGATTGTTTAAAAAAAAATCATAATATTTAAAATAAAATAAAGAGAATTCAAATTCTTTTTAGAAGAGAGGAGGAAATAAGTGTTGTGATTTTTTGTGTAAATGAAAAAAAAAAAGTCCTTTTTAATATAACATGAATTGGGATCATAAATAAAGTATAATGAAAAATAAAAAGCTATGATTTTGAATTTAAATGTTTATGATTTATAAAATAGATATGTACCAACCTAAATGAATCCCGATATCGCCACTTATCAGTTACTAAAGTTGCCGAAACTAACATCATCCGTTGGAGATGTTGTGTTCGTTTCATCTATTGGCAAATAATGATCATAAGGATTGTAGTATGAGTAAGTGGTTAATGGGAAGCCAGAATATACGGGAGTCGACGTCATCATAATCAACGATTGATTCACATGATGCGATACATTATTTGCTCCGTGAAAACACTTTGATTCAGGAAGGATCAGTTGCTGTTGTTGTTGTTGTTGCTGTTCTGATGGTTCCATTGCTTCTTCGTTATTAAACTCGTACATTCCAGAAGCGACCTCTGATTTATCAGAAGAAGAATGCAAATTAAGGGGAATTTTAACCTGAACTTCTGTATACATTCCGAACATAATGCAAAGTTCACAACGATTTGTCGATTGTGCAAATTCGTATGAGAAGGACGCATCTATTTCAACGACATCGTCTTCCAACGAGCTCATGAACAGAATTGAAGAAATGTTCAGTCGGGAGTTCAAACATTTGCTAGCCACCTACCGGTGGTCTCGCCGATAATACCAATTCCTTTTTCCAATCACATGATGGCGTCACCATCACACTTTATTTACCCTGTCGATTACGTTGACATGCAAGCATATTGCTTGATTGATTTGGCTGACTATGTCGAGCGGTTTGTTGGTCGTGAAGCTATCATGGTTAATTTATTTTGAAGTTTGAAATTGTGATCGTTCGGGGGACAATTGATTGATTGTTTCGCAGTTGCGACAATAAATTATTATGAACTTTAGAGAGGTATGGTTTGAAATGAGACGTCGAAAAAAAAAAAGCGAAAAACAAAATTTTTTTTTTTTTGTGAAAATTAAAATATTTAAAATATTATGGTTTCTTATTTAAGAGAGTTTGAAAAAGAAAAGTTTTTACAACTTTAAAATAAAGATAAAAATAAAGTTTTCTATTTTTTTTTTTTTTTTTTTCTTTTTTTTTCCGTTTTATTTTTATTTTTAATTTTGTATTTCCTGTCCTGATATGGTTATTAAAAAAAAAAAATAAAAAGTCAAAGATATTTTTAAGTATATTTATATATATATTTTTATGTCTTGGAAAACTATCGCAGGTAGAAGATTGAACATTTGCAATGAAGTGACCAGACCCTTTATCCACGAAAATGACTTTATTCATAAACGAATTTTAAACATCAAATTATAAAATCATTACTTCGATATTTACTTCTTCAGTGTTATACCAAGATGAATTTTATTAAAAATTGTCTTGGTATTTAAGACATTGATTGATCCAAGCAAATTCCTCCTGCTTTTAATTACATATTTCAATGCGAACCTCTTTTAGAAAATTTATAGTGCGAAAAATTGAATCTATATATGTATAAATGTTAATTAATAAATTATATTATCTTTAGAGTACTGTATAAGAACAATCTTCATATGGGGCATTGTTTGAAATAACATTATTCTATATTACTCTCCTTTCATGATATATTAACAATTAAAATCATAAATAATTTAGTTTAATGATGTAAAAAAATGACAGTAACAAAAAAAAAATTGAATATTGCATAAATATATAGAATTATATAATTGAAAACCGATATTTTCACGTTAACAAAATAGGATGATATTGCAAGTTGAAGAATTGCTTCAGTTAATAAAGAGGAAATCACTTAAGTTTTACTCAGTCCATCACTTTCTACTTTTGTCAAAATAAGGGAAATTGTACCATGAAATGGGTAATATTTAGAATGATTATGGAAGTTTGAATTTTCTTCATCAGCAAAGTAATTTGCCAATGTAATGAAAATGAACTATTACCCACTAAAATGCTACGTCTCTTGGATTCTGTTTGCACTTTGGTAAGTAGTCTAGCCAGGTTGTTAAAAAGGTAGTTTTGTTAAAAAAGGGATTTTGTGAGCCACTGATAGAGATGTTTTTATTTAAAATTACTTTTTCCTTATGCTTAATATAAAATGCGGAAATCTACACAAAGCTGTAGATTTGTAATACGAAAAATGGGAATATTCAAAATTAGTGTAACGGTTAAACCAAGTTCGGTTTACCAAAAGTTAATAATAACCGATTATAAAAAAATAACTAACATTAATATTAGGGTTAAACCAAATTTATTTCGATTTTTATTATATGGTGGTTTGTTATTAAAATAACGTTATGGGTCATATAATTTACTTGTTCATAATTAACAACTCATATTGTAGAACGAGCCATAATTGAACATATTATCAAAGAAATATTTCTCAAGCATTTTTATCAGTAAAATTGTCAAAAAAAAAAAAATCGATCGATAATCAAAATCAAAAACATCGTGATATTGATCCATATTTTAAAAATAATAATATTAAGAGTAATATCGGGAAATAAACAAAAAAATTCAAGTTCGAATGATTTAGAAAGTATTCATATAAATTATGTAACACATTTCAAGCAAAGGTTTTGCCATTGAATTATAATTATTAATATCGATACCAGGTGCTTTTCGATTACTGATACTGTAAATATGTAATTCGCAACATAACCCTATCCCCATGAAAAATTTAATTATCCTGATTTTGTACTGAAAATTGCACTATCAGATACCGAAAATGGTTTGAAAATTTATATAAATTATCTACAAATGGATAAATTAAACTATAAAAAATAAATTATTTGGCATTCAAAGTAAACTTGTAGGAATAAATCTAAACATTATTGTACGATTTAAATCAAAATTGTACCGGGAGGAATTCATGACTTGTAATATTATATATGATTGTACCACTTGAAAAAGATATTTATTCAGTCTTATTGATTAGTATTGTACATGAATATTTATTAATTTTTGTGAATTCCTACAAATTATATACAATTTGATTAAAAGCAACGATTAAATGGCAGCTATATCGGATCATTAAGCGTTCAAGAAATAAGTCTTTCTGATGAGGGGAAAAAGATACTGTAGAAATTCAAAAATATTTAATTGATTGCTTGCTTCGATAAATTATTACATTGCCCAATTTAATCAAACCTTAATATTAATATTTTATTGAAAAAATATTTATGAATGATATACCTCTTACATAGGAAAAGTCAGAAAATTTTCAGTCGCTGTATTAATCTAATGATTGAATGATGATGGTTTGTTTATTGGATCAGTCAAAATAGTGATTGCGTTCAGATGTTAAGCATTGGCGTGAATTGTCCTAATATCTTTTACAATGGCCTCAAATTGTTAATGTTATTAGTTTGTGTTTGGTATAATTTTTCAAAGCAAAGAAGTTTATTGTAGACGCGGTAAATTTATGCGTAGATATATATAATTTTTTTTTTAATAATTATTTTAAATGGAACTTGGATCTTTCCGTTAACTAAGTGATAAATTCACTGTGTTGTGCATGTGCAGGAAAAATCAAAATGAACGCAAAAAAAATTCTCGGTTGATAATTCTATCCACGAAGAAGGTTTATCACATCGTTGGACGTTTAATCGCAAATTGCGGTTTAATAATTAATACAAAACGCGTAATAAAATTTTGAAGTTGTGTAACAAACAATGCCGGAAACAACTTGATGCGAGTTCTTGTCAAACAAAAGAAAGTGATACAGAATTTATTAACAAAGTTAATGAATGCTCCTATAGACAAACGTAAAAGAAATTTATTTATATTTACAGTATACATATAAATGCAACTATTAAAAAATTTGCTGGTATAATAAGAGAGAAGGAAGTTTTTCTTTATTAAATATGTTATTATAGCATCGTTTTACAAACTTCAATAAACAAGTAATAGCATTATCAGCTTTTCTAGCGATTCTTTTTTTTACTTGTTTTAGTTATAGATTTCATATTAAACTTGGATATGCTGATTAAGTTTATATATGTTGTCTAAAGTAAGTATTCACAAGGCTCGAGTTTTTTTTTTTTCTTCCCAAATTAGCCAAGACTGTTTATACTGAAGTTGATCAAGAGAGTATTTTAAATTAATATGCTTTGTTATCTGAAATACGAAACATGCTGCTTAATAAGGAAACAACATACCTGCACATAATCCTGGCTTACCGATTGAATCAGTAGATATTACAAATCGTAAGCCTTAACATTTTATATTATAATTTTGTTATTCAACTTCCGCAGCGCGGCTATTATTATTCCCCAAAAGATATCAATTATTCTAATGAATATCTATAAGGATTCCTAAATTGTGGAGTTGTGGAAAATTCATTCATAATATCTACATCGTCCAGAACACCACCACCAACCTTTTCAATAATGGCAAGATGATCATTGGTAATTCCATCATAACCCACATATCTAATTCCACCGGATTTATAAATATAAAATAATAAATGTTTCTTCTTGTTCATGATATCCAAAAATGAATTCAAG